CTCACCTACCTGCTGGCTGACCTAGGAGAGCTGCCTCGTTCTCCTCCAGTTCTGTACGTAGACAACAAGGCCATGCTGGCCTTGTGTCGGGAGCACAGACTGGAGCACAGAACGAAACACATTGCTCTTCGCTACTTCCTTGCTCGTGAGCTGCAGCAGCGTGGTCAGCTGCGCCTTGCTTACGTGGCCTGTCAGGCCAACACTGCTGATATCTTTACCAAGGCACTTACGCTTTGTGATCATCAGCGCTTCTGTACGATGCTAGGTCTTGTGCCTACTTGGCCTCACTTGCTCACTTTTTTACCTTTCTTGTACTGTGATCTATCTATACCTGCACTTGCTTGTTTGCCTTTATATATGATCTTGCATGCAAACTGGCCTTGTGGCCTTAAACTTGTGCTCGGAATGTGTGGTAACATTGTGATTCACCCTGAGCTTACTGTGCTTTGCTTGACTGGTCTTGTGACCTCTTGTTCTCCCCCACTTTGCCTATGGGGGTGTGTCAAACTTATATGCTATAGTCTGTGTAGGCTGTAGTGGGGTAGACAATATGGGGTACAACACTTTTAGGTTTAGCTACTTGTACCCACCTGTTTCATAGTGCACACATTCCTCGTTCTTTCACAGATGAGATAGGCAACTTCGGGGCTCTCATCAGTGGGCTCCGCCTCGGGCATGGCGCGATGACCGCGGCTGAGTATGTCGCCATCGACGAGGGTGAGCCGACGTGCGCCGAGCACGCGGCAGATCGGACCACTAGTGAGCCGGGTGCGGGCATGGTGGCGGAAATGTGGGAGGCGCCGACCACCATGCCCGCCGTGTATGAGGATGCCGACCCCGTGGGCCGTGAAGCGCGGCGTATGGCACGCGCGGCGTGCGAGATGCTCATTGGCTATGCGCGCGCCACATGTATCACGTGGAGCGATCTCTGCCACCCTTTCGACATCCGTAACCCGATCATCATCGCGCGGATGGAGCGGGCGAACCCGCCCATTAATCTCAACCTGACACCGCCCCCCGTGGTCACGCCGGGAGCAACTTCTCCACCCGACACCCCGCGTCCGCGCGGCCGCGTGCTGCTTGGCTGGATGACCCAGCCTTCCCCCCATCAGCACCTGCTGGACGCCGGTGTTGGCGCCGTGATGGGCGGGTACCTTGACGCGGCTGAATGGATGCGTTTTTGAGTGTGGTTTTCGAGCCATTGCAAGGCGCCGAAGGCTCTTTGCTGTGCACTCATTGTGCACATTTGGGTGTGATTCGAATGTTGCTGACATTGTGAATGGTGTGGGTGCATGTGATTGGTGGTAAGAATGGATTGTATTTTTGGACTAAGTTGAACATTTGATGAGGATGCAGTTTGCATTGTTCTTGCAATCGTACAGTAACCAGTAACACACACTAATAACAAGACGCGCCAACCGTTACTGTTAAAAAAGAGACAAAATGGGTGGTTACCAATTTCGGTTTTGAAGCATATATAAGGTGTAACGAAACATTAGAACCCCCCACGAAATGTTGGTGTAGCTTACGGACCCCCTTCACAAGGCAACCGGGAGGGGCTCAAACGGGCATCAATTGTATAAAAAAGAACCTAAAGACGACCGCAAATCCTGGGGACCAGCACTTTTGTGATCAATGCAGTCAGAATATATGTAGCGGTTTCGTACGGTAAAACGTGGTAGTCGCAAGTGCCGCTAGCGTCAACGTAGCCAGTCGGTAGCGTTGCGATTGGCTAGTGTTCCATCAAACACGTGACCATCCCCAAATGTATCCGGTCGGACCACTTGTGATTGCTTGAGAGCCTTTCGCGCCTGAAAGGGGGGTCATAGTAAGCCTTGCCTTGATTGGTTGGAGAGGGTTGAACAAAGCCCGTCGCCACCAACCCCCCCTCTCTCCCACCCAATCACGAAACCCACTCTTAAGTGAACCAATCATGTCCGGCAACTGTGAGGGGAGTTCAGGGTTAGACGCGGTAAAAGTGGAGAATCGATCGTCTCAAGTTCGTTTTTTAGCACGGTTATAAACGGTTGTGTATCTTTTGTATAGAAAGCGCGGAGTTTCAGTACGGTGACCGGATCAATTTTCCCCCGATCGAGCACTTTTACCGCGTCCTTAGGACGCGGGTACTCACACCGATCCGTGAGGGGCAGGGATTGATTTTTTAGGTGGTTTCCTAGTTACCATACATGTAACCAAACTACAGTAAATCTCTACAGTTCTCGATTGCTACCTCATATGCGATGTTCAATTGGGGCAACCGATCATCCAGGGATCCACGCCAATCTTTCGATCGGGCGTTAGTGGTCAAGCAAGATCGATCGCTGGTTAGCGAGTCCGCGAAATTTCATTGTCAAACATTCGCGAAACACAATATACTTCACACGACAAAACAGGGGGCGCAACTCCGTATACCCGGCTGTAAGGCGAAACATTTCGGGGTTTCGACAAAAGGGAAAAAAATCGCTGTTACGCCGGACTGTACATACCCCACTGACGATCGTGATCACAAGTGGGGAGCAGATCACAGAAGTCCAATCGTCAAATGAACACTACGATTGATTAGAGAACAGTGCCAGAGGGTCGGTGAACACAAGAGATTCTACCCCGACCCTCCCGAGTGTCCGCGTCCTTAGGGAGAACCACAGCATGCACATAAAAAAGACTCCAGCCCGCAGTCATACGCACATCGGAGAACCATTTCCCGCAAATGCAAGAGGAGTTCTGCGGGCATGAGAGTTCCTCTAAGGGCGCGTAACTTTTTCACCTTTCATCGTTCGGACGGAGGCCCCGTCCGGACTTCTGTAGGGTAGCTAATTTCGTAACAGTCCGTTCGGATATTCGCAAGATCCCCTGCGACGTCGCTACCCTCCGGACACAATCTGACACTTTTCTGCCAAAAAGTGGTCCGGACTAGCCTGCTGACTCCGTCCGAACGGCATTTCGGACAGTCCGTTTTATCTGCGCTGTGATCTGGCCACCAATCGAAAGATTTTCCAACCAATAGGATGCCGTCAAATTTTGGTGGCGAAATCTCTAAGTGCTATACGATTTCTGTAATGCGTGTTATTATTCGTAGCGAGATTCTATATTTTCGATAGGGGAAAAAGTTGCACAATTGTGGTCCGGACGCCCTAACGTCCGGACCTGCTTCCCAAACGTCCGGACGGAGCTCCGTCCGGCCAGTTTGGAGGCTCCGTCCGGACATTTGACGAAAATGGAAAAAGTTACGCGCCCTAATTCGCATCCAATTTCTCAGCCCTGCCGAATTCGTCAGCGCATCGCTGAAGCCTTCCACATTTCGAACGCGAAGCCCAACCCACGTGTGTGACTGACCCGGCAATCGCGTCGCATCACATCTCATCCCCCGAAAGGGATTCGTCACTGCAAGCGAATCGCTGGCATGTCAAATCAATGGATCCCACTCATGGACAATGAGCATAACTTACGTGATCTTTTCGACTTTAGCTTCCCGTGGGAAACGGGCACCGAAGCCATCTATGCGAGTGCCTTGGAGGCGGCCGCAAATGGAAACGTGGTCGACAATCAAGCGCCCTTGGAACTTCCAAGAGGCGGCGCCACGACGTCGTCGGAAAATTCGCCCTGCGAGCCGCACGACGGGTTTGACCAATGGCTGCGCGAGATGGGGATTGATGAAAATTGTCCACTGGCTGACAAACTTCCCTCCGCGCCCGGCGGTTTTTGCGGCGAAGGAAACGACACGGCCGACCGCGCGCAAGCATTGTGTGCTGATGACGACTTGCTCACTACGTGCGGCATCCTGCCTGCTAGTGATCCTCGGAGCGTGACTCACTTCAAGACTCACGCCACAAATCCCGTCGCGATAAGCAACGATTATGCTCAGCAAACGGAGACTGCGCGTCTGGGAGTCGAATCGGCATCGGCACGTGACGCGGCGGGTTGGGTGCGGCGCCGCGTGCTCCCGGGCCGCCGGGTGCTGGCTTCCGTGTTGGCTCCCAACCCGCCAACACCCTCCGCTACTAAGCAGCAGCACGGGAGCCAGGGTGTTGGCGTTAGCGCTGCCGTCGGTGGTTTTGCTAGTGCTGATGCTGATTTTGCTAATGCTGCTATTTTTCATGCAGATGCTGGTGCAAAAAACGACGCCACGGCAAAGCCGCAGCACGGGATCCCTGGCGTTGCCGTTGCAGACACTGATGCTGTTTGTAATGTCGATGCTGATGCAAAAGGCGGCACCACGGCAGATCAGCAACAAGAAAGCTAGGGTGCGGGAGCTGGCGCTGCCGTCGGTCATAGTTATGCTGACGATGCTAACGCCGATCCTGTTTATATTGCCAAAGCTGATGCGAAAAAAGCGGCACCACGGCAGATCCGTAGCACGAGAGACAGGGAGCTGGAGCTGGCGCTGCAATTGGAAGCATTGATCATCGCGAAAAAGGAAAGCTGCGATTTTTGGCCCCCGAAGGTTTTTCTGCGTTGGCCTTGCGAGAAAGTGCGGAAAGCTTCATAAAAACACCGCACCCGAATCGCAACTTTTTGCACATCAGAAACGCACAACTTCATCGTAGACAAAAAAGTCACTTGGCGTTAACTTTTCCACGAACATGTACGAAAATCAAAGCGCACACCTACATCTCGAGTCCCAAACGCGGCTCCCATGTCATTGGAACCAAAATCCGCGACATAAGTATGCTGTAACTGGTGTTTCTATCAAAATACAACGTGTAAGTCCACTATTAGGGTGCTCATATCCACATTATCCAAACGGCTCCATCAACTCAAAATAATACTGCACACACTATTACAGCCACTACACCAACATAAGCAATGCGTACCCCCCCCGTTCGATACCGCACACAATCAACTCCTACAACCAAACCCCCCTACTGCCAGACGCATCACTGGTCGTCATCACTCTCCAGCACTTCATCACTCTGCAGCACTTCTTCGGCTGTCCCATTCTCAGCTCGCCCCCCTGTGCGAGCCCTCTTGACAGGCGTCCTGCATAGGCGGGAAATCACCTCCTAGTTCGATGCTCCGACCTCTGCTGGCACAGCCGCCGGGGGGATGCCGAGCTCATCGGCACGCTCCACGTACGCGTTTGTGACGTTGCGTATCACGCGCCTCCTGCTGCGCTCGTCCCGCAGCAATGGGCCGTCTGGCAGGCTCATGTCGCCCGACGAGTCATCGGACGCGCTGGCATCAGGTGTGGCTCTGAACCCCTGTTCCACGCATATTCCCGCGTTGCAGTTGATAAAATTCGAGGCCGTCATGTAGCACGCAGTCCTTACCTTGAACTTCTCGATGAGCAACTGCAAATCGACGCATACCGAAATAATAGGCTCGAACATGCCGGTTGCGCACGTGTCACCCAGGTACGCCATCAGGGGCGGCCAGCTCGCCGGCACGCATCCTGCGCGCCACCAGCTCCGCTGCATGGTAGCCGCGCGAACACAAGTCCACGCTTCTCCCAGCCACTCGAGTATGTCGTTATAGTCGACATCAGCGATGGAAGCCGAATAGTCGAACTGGAACCGCTTGGACCCTATCGCACGCCTCATCAGCATAACGCGGTAATACGCCTTCAGCGCGTCACCCACTCCCTGCAGGTGCGGCAGGCCCGTCTCCGGAATCGATCCACGAATGTTGACGACTCTGGTGTTCGTGAGGTGCTGCACACTGAAGCCGTGCTCCGAGACGGCCGGCGCCACCTCGCCTGTGATGCGATGCGCATTGTGAATGGTGAGGATGATGGTGTTGCGATCACGGCTGAAGTGCACACCGTTGACAGTCTCCACAAACTCCGTGAACACCTGTGTGCAGTGAATCAAACATACCGAGCACGTCATAAACGGACATTGCGGTACGCACTGACATCGGAGATGGACGCGCTCGTGATGTACTCTCACGTTCTATGCACGTCCAACCATAAAACTGCACACAAAGTCCACAATCCATTACCTCCGGCGTCAACCTCCCGCGGTTCGTATACCTAACGGCCACCTTGCGCGATGCGGCGCTCGCCCGCCGGCGCAGGGGCCTATTGGATGGCTCTAGCACCACAAGAGGCACTGCGGAACAACTCCGAGTCGGGTTGTAGAGGATGCCGACGCTGACGATACGCTCCACCACATTGCGCTTATCCGGAATGTAGGACTTCGGCAGCCGGCTGGGAAGAAAATTAATCTCGTGGAAGCAGAACACGTCATCCGGATGTGCGGTAGCAAGCAGGGCCTTCAGGTCACCCATTGTAACACACTGTCACTCTGGTATGCAAGTATGCATTGAAGGGCACACGAACTCCTCCTACATACGTTTCATATCACTTTGGCGTAACCTCGGCTTGCCCCTGCACGCACACTGCGTACAGCAGTTGAAATTGGCCACACAACCAACCGACCACATTCCCTGCGCCGCACAGAGATAACGCTCTCCTTTGATACGACCACCTGTAACGCCCACATAGGACATCCCGCCCCCACGATGCCACGTACGCGTCACCCATATCCAAACAACCAACTGCCTGAGACCCCGAGTGTGTACCACCACACATTGTAGTTGTGCAACCCCGACCGCGCAAGGAATAAGGGTACCCGTACGCGTTATACGATTCATAATTTAACCACCATAATGCACACCTCTACCTGATTGAACATCTCTCCTTCTTACCACGAGTGTACAATATCATCACCGCTGGATAACACAACTTCCATCCATTCGTGCCTCTACACATAAAGAACGCACTACGCAGTAATTTATGGTTTAAAATTCCGAGATGCAACCACTGTCTGTAAACGCATTGCGTCACTCGCATAGTAGAAACCTATTTACTAGCTACACCTTTTTGTTGCTGTACGAAGGGCACACGTGCACCACTCTCTGCGGGCTTTTCAGCTCCACCACCGAGAACCTCACATCCTCCACTGTCTTGTGCAGCTGCGTACATCCCGTGAGGTTGCAGCTCCCAGCCTTCTCATAGTACCTCACATATGTGTACCCCTTCCAATCCCCTTCACGGTCAACCTCCTTGAAAATGCACAGACAATTTGCATACCAGTCCCCACCCTTGTCATTGAGCAGTGCAACGTCTGAATACCACCTCTCTCGGGGCGACGCCTTCACAAATGTCCCTTTGGCCACCAGCTCTCCGCCTCTTGTGCGCGGAATGGCCACCGCCGTGTGGACCTGTCACCCCATCCCCACCAATTCAACAACATGTGCACATCATGAGTGCGGTGAGTACCATCATGTAAGACTACAAACGCCACATGTCCGCCAGTTTGTAATCACTTCACCTGCACGCTGTTGGTAGCCAGACCCAACGCCTTAAACTCGTCTGCTAAACCCTTCATATCGTCTCCCACCGCGGTTATGTACTCATTGTACAATGGATCCGCCGCTCCGCCAATCCGCATTGTCCGATACTTCTTCATGAGCACCGGTTTCTTCGTCAAGATTGCCTGCACGTACCACACGCATTCGCACAACGAATCAAACGGTGTTTGAATCACGCCACCACCCCGGTGTACGGTGTACTCTGTACTACCAACACTGGGCATCATCGTCGCCAAGACCCCCTAACACACCTCACGCAAGGCGCGCGCGTACTGTCGCCCACCCCCAGCGTCCGCCGCCACCTCGCGGTACACCTCGCGCTGCACCTCCTCCTCCACGATTCGTCGAGGTATGTCGCTCCAATTGCTCCCTCTTACTGGACCCTTCACCGTGCCCTTGTGCGTGCGCTCCCACATTTCGGTTGAATAGTGGTGCGGCATCCCACGCTCCTTCACGTTGTCCAGCAAATGTCTTATTATGTGTATCTTTGGGAGCTTCCAGTGGGATGCCTGCGATGGGAATGCCTTCGGTAGCAACGCCACCAACCTGCACCGGCACCCCCGAGAAGGCACAATACTGGATGCATCACCGTATTTGGCGACCTCAAAATAGCTGTCCAATCTGGAGGCATAGCCTCCCATAAATCTTGTTGACCCAACGGCGTGGGGTATACAAATACTCACGCTATCGCATGCTACCGGGCAATCGCAATTGTCGTGTGTGTGTGTCTGTCAACCCCCAGAAACGCCTTGTAGAACACAACATACAACCGGAACGCCTTGACCTGCAAAGCACGCAGCTCTCCCTCCGGTCCATCCTTCAATGCACTCTCGTCTGCCACGAGTAGCGGCATTATCTGCATCATGCTCCTGTGCTCAAACGCCGCGTAGTTTGCGCCTGAACTGAAGAACGATGATCCCCCAGGGATACGGAGGAGAACGCTTGGAGTGAAACGCTTGAACTCCTTCTTGCGGCTGCGCACTTACATAGTACGACGTCGTTATCCGCTTGACACACATGGGGGCCTAGACCGCTCAAAAATCCCTGCAGAACATAGTTGGCTACCGCTCTCACACCCGACTACACCTAACTCACCTTTCTAGCAGCCGCATCTCAACCTTTCCAAGGGGTTCAATGTAGGAGTCCATCATGTGGATCAGCACACCGGAGTCCAGCACGTGCAGTGTGTCTGCTAGGCATGCCAGGTACACGTTTCCCCACTCTGTGTCTGCGAAATTCCACCTTTGAAGCACGCACTGCAAACATCCCACAGACGACACAGTGTTGTCAAACAGTCCACATGATATCCAGCGCCCCTTCATTACGCACCACCAAACCGCGCACCAGCAAACACACCTCGATCGGATGGGTTGACCATAACTTCCGCACATCGTCTGCCTCGCCCTTCTTCTTGCACGCCAAGATTTGACGAACAATGTCCCTCTGCTGATCGGGGGTCCGTGGATCACACTTCCCCACCATCATGGTCAACTCCCCCTTCACAGCATAGCACTTAGCGCATGGCCGATGCGATCCTTGCTGCAGAGTTGCGGAGGCTCTGCTGGATTCCGGGAAGTCGGCAGGGTATCCGTACAGGCAAGGGACCGCCTTGTGCACCTTCCCGTCCGCGTCTGTGCAGTAGAAGAAGCGTACTGGCGCGCTGCATAGGGCCGCCATGCACACATAGTGTTCACTTAGTGATGGATCGTATGCATATCTCCCAAAAGGGTGGCAACTAACTGGGGTGGCCCCCCTTCTCCACCCGTGTATCGTTATCATACCCACCCCCATCCCCTCCCAGTACCTGGCGGACTCTCGCATGATGGGCGCGAGTATTACCTTCAGCGCCTTCTGGAACACGCGCGACTTCTCCGTGGGCGACGCCCATTCAGGCGGGAATGGAAGCACCGCCGCCAATGTGTGCCCGGGTTCCACTCCTCGCAATTCTTCAGGTATGTTGACAAGTGATATCAGCACAGGCCACGCGTTCCTTCGTCCATTCCGTGATGCCTGCGTGCTATCGCTGTATATCAGCACGCCTAGTACGAGTGCCTGGTCGTCGTTAATCTCCTTCTGCCATGTAGAGCGCACGGGCCGGTGAGCGTTGTGACACCTCGTGCAGGTACCAGTAAGCACGACATATGACAATTGAACAACTAACATGTGCATACCTGAGCAGAGTGCATCCAATCACCTGTCTCCGGTCCTTCAAATACCCTCTCGTTGTTCTTCTTCCGATATATCTTCCTCGGCTTCCATACGAACCCCTTTTTGGATGAGAACGTCCGCACCAGCTTTTTCAAGATCTGTGTGCGTTGCGCAAAAACATGAGTGAGAACATGATGGGTGCCAACTTCATCTACGCATCACCTAGACATCGCCTCCAGGTTGGCCTCCCATCACGTACCAACTCGGTGTCGCGGAAGTGCAGTAGCATCTTGATTTGCAGTCCTTTGGGACCCCTCACCACTATCTCCTCCGTTTTCCACGGGACCATGTCGGGTGGAGCTCGCGCCATGCCCCAGCGGCGCACATCCACCCAGTTGCGCCATCGTCGGAGAGCCCTGAGGTTGAAGCGAGGGTTGCGGAAAATGTGTAGCAGACGGTTAATTTCCCGGTGCGACAGATCGGCGTCATGGAAAAACAGGTACAACTCTGTAAGTGTATCAAAAATCTCCGTCCTATCGCTGCCTTCTGTAGATTCGGCGTTAGCGCCGTCGGATGGTGTATCCGCGTCGCCAACCACACTAACTTCGGGTATCGACACCGTTGGAGGTACGGAGAGAAAGCTGCCATCGTTGTTTTTAAGCCTGGATGCCGGTGGGGTACTTGCTCTACCCTCTCCTTCGCACGCAACGGCTTCCAAATATGCAGCCCACAAAAGTTGTTCACGTTTGCTCTTCAAATCCTCGCGACAAACAGCCCCATTCACTACATGGGACTGTAACCTGCTGTTGTCCTTAAACACCGTCTTGCACACCAGGCAACTGTTCCCCGCCATCCTACAGCCGTGAAACCCTAGGAATTGCTGCTGTGAAAACCCTGCCCAGCCCATCTCGTGCACTCTTGTAGAACAGAGTTGGTCTGGTTCGAGCACACGCATGTGCGGGAACCTTTGTGGTGTGCGCACAGAACATAGCCGCACTCGTTGCAGTGAAAGGTACAATTATATTATGTGTGGATGTGTTGTACGTGAATCGGGATGTACATTTGTCAAACCGCCCCACCAATGATTGTAACTTGTTGATCGAGATGATAAAAATATCATAAACTGGTTCCGTAACCACCAACAACCATTGCATATATGTGATTATTTGTCATGTAGGGTAACAACATTTTTTCCAAACTCTGACCACCTTGACCTGACGTAACATAACACATTGCAATCGCGTGTTATTGTTATACAAGTTTAATAACCATGTACGCATCGATTGCATAAAACCTGGACTCGGCGCGCGAAGAGACACATACACGTATGTTCACCACACGACGTACATCGTTACCATACTTCGCGTTATTTGGCCTTCTCATCAAAAAATTCGAACCACCGTGCATTCGCTTGCATGCATCTGCTTGGTAACCCGGCTTCAACCTCCGACCACAGCATCCGAAACCCTAGGATTAGCACACGTGGATCTGCATGGCGCTGAACCATCACATCCTCTCGAGTGGTCGCATCACACCTGGCCATCGCATGCACGCTTGCGCCAACGGTGTACATCTATGTAGCTCTACACGACGGTCACACCAGATGTGCATAATCCGAGAGGATTACGCCTTTCTATCTCCTTCATTTTCCATAGTATCCTCAACGCTTGCGCTCCCCGTAAATGTGTTCCTCCTGCCAACCCTACCTGCTCGCGTCTTCATAAGCCAGGGTAGTTTGTATTCTAGTCGTTGATAGATAGAGATGGCGAAACCTAAGCAGTTGACATCTAAGCGCAACAGGTTCTATGAACCCGAAACTAGTAGCGGCTCTGACGACCAAGATCCTGCCCCGCCGACGTGCAGAACCAGGTTGTCGAAAAATGCAGAGTCTAACATGAAGAATCCAGGGCCGATCCTGCCAACTAAGGCCTCCGGAAGGGCCATGAAGTTTGCTACGACTAAGGAGGATACGGCGCGGGAGCAGGTGCAGGAAGATTTGGTGTCCCTCGTCGCACGGAATTACATGAAGTCTTCGTACACAAACATGACGCTTATAAATCACCGCGGCGTCGGGTGCGAGGTGGATAAGGACGACCTCATGTCGATCAAAGATGATCAGTGGATCACTGATGGTGTGCTAGACTTTCACAACGTGTAAGTATCTTCAGTGAGGTCACCTGTTTGACGCTTTGTTGCGTAGTATCTGATGTATGGGCAACATCTAATACGCTTTGTTATTTCTTGTTCATTACCTGTGCAGGCTGCTTAGCATCCGGAAGCCGACTCTCCGTGACGGGAAAACATGGGCTGCCTTGGACTGCAAGGCGTACTTCCAGACGAACTCGTGTGGTGCGCCTTTGACGCTGGGGAACGGGCTTCCTCTACTGCAGCACGACTATCTCGCGATCCCTGTGCTAGAGGGGTACGTATCACAAGTATTCGGTTCGTGAGTGGATTCTTTAGCATGACACCGATGGTTGACTAACCCTAATCCCAACATACCCTCTCATGTTGAGCGTAGGGAGCACTACTCGCTCGTCATCGCTGTATCTCCATCGGTGCTTACCAAGTCTGCGAAATCCGAAGGCAAAGAGCGAATGAAGTTGGTCTTGCTGGACAGTAACATAAAGACAAGGAACACCCGCATGATTTTTGCAGGCACCAAGCTGTGAGTACGGGGTTCACTGTCGACGTTGCATGTCGCTGGCAGCTGATGCATAACTTGTTTTAACGATTTCGGCCTGTAACGTGGAGAGTGCTGTCCAAACTCGCGAAGGCGAGCAACCCCGACGCGAACATGGAGCTTGTTGACAAGCTCCTATTGGATGCGGAGTGCATAATATTACGGGTGAGGGTACCAGTAAATGTGCATACCTGTGTGCACAATGTTTACGAGGGTAGCAGATTGCTAACTGTAGTGTGCGTTTGTCGAAGTGCAGGAGGATAAGCTGCCACAGCAACCGAACAAGCAGGACTGTGGGATTTTTGTTTGCCAGTACCTGAAGACCCTGGTGATGTCCGACTTCACCACGTTATTGAGCGGGCTCTGGTTTCATGGAGTGACGCCGCACCAATACCGGCGGGAGATGCGGCGCGACTTGTGCGCACACGCGACCGGAGATCTCATTCAGCAATTGGAAGCGCTGGGGATCGAAATTCCCCCGCAGGACGCAGGCCGGGTAACAGAGGGGGGGGCAGTAGTGCGGGAGAGGAACGGTGGTATCGAAGATGTGAGGCAAGCACCGGTCAGTCAAGCCGGGGATGACGCACGGGTTACTGCGATGATGAGGGAAATTGCGACTATGAAGAACGATGTGATGTTCCTGGACGCGAGATTCACCGTCATATCCAATTTTGTGGGATTGAGGCGCAAGGAGGTGGTGTCCGCTGCAACCCAACTACTGATGCAAGGCAACCTCGTGAGATACGGCGCGAAAGCAGAGGCAGGTGGCACCAAGAATGCCCCATACACTCCACAGCGTCCATCCGGGCGCAAAAGGCTTGTTGACAGCAGTCCAGAGGAGGATGTCGTACGCAATGCCACCCGTGTTGCGCTGGCCTCCTCGTTCGCTGCATGTGATCCGACAGCGCGCTTGCTGCAAAACCCGCTGCTGACAAGAGGGACCATACCTCACTGGATGTTCACCCGCGGGAGACCGCTGCTCGGGGTGACGGTGCCGGCTGGAGCTGATGCGTGGGGAGATACGAGCGGCCACGAGACGGTGAAGGCAGAAGAAGAGGAGGATCTCGTGTCAGACACGGAGGACGAAGAGGATGGTGACGACACGTGTGCAATGAAGTACACAGGAGTGAAGTTGGAGAAAGCATCAGGCAAGTTCGGCGTGAAGATCCTGATCAAAGAAGGAGGAAAGCGTAGGCAACAGCGGCTGGGTGCATACACATCGGAGGAGGAGGCGGCGTATGCGTATGCCGCAGGTGCGTTCGTCCTGAGGCCACGAGACAAGATACCCAACACGGTCAGTCTGTTAGCCGCAGAGAAGGCGATGCTGCGTGGATGCACCAAGGAAGATCTGCAGCTCCTGGTGGAAGCGCGGAAGTGGTGGAGGTGGCGGAGCTGGCGGGAGGCGAGGGAGGGCGTGAACTGGAAGATGAAACGAGGGAGGGAGCGAGTGGTTGCCACGCGCACGTCAAAGAGGCAGAGGGTGGTGGATAGAAACAAGGCGGCCAACGAACCAGACGACCCTGACAATGTTGAGAGTGGGGGAACGGCCCCTGTGCACAACGGTAGCAGCGGGTGTGCTCGGCACAAGGAAGCGGAGGAGGGTGTCGAAGAGTCTGCTGCACATGAGATGTTGGCAGAACATCGTGCGTAGTTGGTGTAGATGCATAGACGTACACATGAATGCAATTGTGCGGTATCGTTTTCGAGAAATTCTGTGGGAGATGTGCAGGGCGTTAGATTTTCTGCTGGTATTTGTAATTGATGGGTGCGAAGGCTATTGCTTACACTATGGTGGTCAAATGTTCGGTACATTGTGTGGTAGTGTAACGAGCAATTGGTGACATGTATAATGAAAGGATGTACGTCAACAACGTGCAGAGTGAACACTTTCGTTAGACAAGATGTACGTACAAACGAGTTCCACCGATACGGTTGTGTCGCCATGATGTGCGCGGTGTGTGGTTTATGTGTGCACACATGTGAGAAAATGTGAACGAGAATGAATGAACTAAGAAACAGTTGGGTACAAGTACTAACCCTAATTGGGTTGTACCCCATATGGGCTACCCCACTACAGCCTACACAAAGGCATAAGCTATAATGTTCTGACACACCCCCATAGGCAAAGTGGGGGAGAACAAGCGGTCACAAGACCAGTCAAGCAAAGCAAAGCAAAGCAAGCTCAGGGTGGATCACAAAGTCACCACACATTCCGAGCACAAGTTCAAGGCCACAAGGCCAGTTCACATGCATGAGTACATATATATAGAAAGCTAGACAAGCAAGAGCAGGTGTATATATATGTAACAGTACAAGCAACGTCAAGAGGTGAGCAAGTGAGGTAAGACAGGCACAAGACCAAGCTGAGAACAGAAGCGCTGATGATCACAAGGCGCAAGTGCCTTGGTGAAAACATCAGCAGTGTTGGCCTCAGAGGCCACGTACGCAAGTCGCAACTGACCACGCTGCTGCAACTCACGAGCAAGAAAGTAGCGGAGAGCAATGTGCTTCGTTCTGTGCTCCAGGCGCTGCTCCCGACACAAGGCTAGCATGGCCTTGTTGTCTACGTACAGCACCGGAGGAGAACGAGGCGGCTCTCCGAGGTCAGTCAGCAGGTAGGTGAGCCAGCGAAGCTCCTGTGCAGCCATGGCCCCGGCGTAGATCTCAGCCTCACAACTGGAGCCGAGAACAGAAGACGAGCGAGTAGCCCGCCACGAAACAGAGCCGGAACCAAGGCTGAAGGTGTAACCCTGTGACGACCGCTGCGTAGCCTGGTTGTCTGCCCAAGAAGCGTCCGCGTGCCCAGTGAGGACCACTGGACTCCGCCCTCCAAGCACTAGCCCCATGCCCGACGTACTGCACAAGTAGCGCAACACCCTCTTCGCTGCAGCCATGTGCTCTGGTCTGTGTCTCCCACGAGCAACATAGCGTGCAAGAATGCTAAGAGGGTATGCAAGGTCAGGTCGTGTGCAGGTCATCAGGTACATGAGGCAGCCAACAAGCTCTGGGTACGGGCCACTCGACTCTACGGACTCATCCGAAGGCAGAGCTGAGAGCGAGTGGCGAGTAGACAGAGGAGTGGCGTGAGGCGAGGAGTACGTGAAGCCGAAGCGCTGAAGGACCTGCTGCACCATGTGTGACTGAGTCAGGGTAATGGTGCGGCATGCTCTGTCCCGGGTGATCTGCAAGCCAAGGTAGCTGCGCAGTTCACCCATGTCTGTGCACGTGTGTCTCTTCTACAGCTCGGACTTCACGTGGGCGAGTCCAGCAGTGTCAGCTGTGGCAAAGACCAAGTCGTCGACGTACACGAGGATGTAGAACGGCGGCAGAGAGGTGTCGGTGCGTAGAAACAGCGACGGGTCAGCAGTAGAGGGAGCAAACCCAAGAGCCGCAAGTGTAGTCCTCAGTGTGTCGTGCCACTCGCGCGGTGCCTGGCGGAGACCGTAGACTGGTCGTCGGAGGCTCCATTGGGTGCCAGGAGGGAAAGTCCCAGTGAAGCCAGGTGGACGGCGCAACCAGATCTCCTCGTGCAGGCTACCCTGCAGGAAAGCAGTGCTGAAGTCAAGGGAGTGAAGCTCGTAGTCACGCTGAGCGGCTACGTGTAGCAGCACCCGAAGAGTGGTCATCTTCGGGGTGGGAGAGAAGGTTTGAAAGTAGTCAACTCCCTGGCGCTGACTGAAGCCACGAGCCACGTACCGCTCTTTGAAGACAGGTGGAGAGCCCGGCGGCCGCTTCACCCTGAAGATCCACATGCGACTGACGATGTTCGCCCCAGGAGGGGGAACCGCGTCAACGTAGGAGCCTGTGGACTTCCAGGAAGCCATCTCTGCATCCATAGCTGCCTGCCACTGAGAGGAGTAGGGACCCTCTATCGCCTCCGCGTAAGAGCGCGGAGTCGGGATGTCTAGTGCATCCTGATCTCCCTCAAGGGTAAGCAGTACGGACGCAAGATAAGGTGAATCAGCAGCCAGACACTGGAACTCCTCTTGCCTGTCCTCAAGGACGTCCGTGCCAAGAGCACACTCACCCCCGACGGACGGAGGACAGACAGACGCAGACTCAGCAACAAGACTAGCAGCGTAGTCTAGACGACAGCGAGCAGCAAAGTCGACGAGCTCAGCAACAAGAGCAGACGCAGCAGTGGACTCAAAGGAGGGGTCAGTGACGACAGTAGCAAGGAGACGCGTGACAGTAGGACTGGCAGCACGAAGAGAGTCCGACTCAGGGTCGGCAAGCGCAGGAAGAGAGGACTCAGGAGGAGAGGGCAAAGGGGCACGCAGAGGAGCAGTGGACGGACGTAGAGACATCCGGTGCGTGCCAGGGACAGGAGGAGGACGCTGACGGGAACTGCGACCACTAGTGCGAGCAGCACAAACAGGCGACGCAGGACGAGACGCAGGCTCACGACGCTGAGCAAGACCTCCAGTAGGACTAGTGTATGGAGAAGGAGAGGGCAGTGGGGAGGCCGGCAGTAACTGTGACAGTGACTGGACAGGCGGTGGACACTCTAAGGGAGGAGGAAGACCAAGAACCTTCTGAAGGAGCGGAACAAAGTACGGCCGAGGCCGCGCGGGGACTCCAGACACAGCAGGGACAGCACCAGCACCCCCAGCGGCAGCACCAGCGTCAACAGCACCTCCACCTCCAGTACCTCCACCAGCACCAGTAGCACCCGCAGCAGGACCGCCGCCAGGACTGACAGAAGTAGCCTCAGCGCCAACACCCTCAGCAGCTCCGACTCCAGTAGCACTCGCAGGACTAGCACCAGCACCCTCACCAGCCGAAGAAGCACCAGCTCCAGTAGTACGCCTCCAGCGCCGAGCAAACCACTCGCGCAGCTCCTGTGGAGAGAGTGGCTCCCGCCGAGACGAAGCACCCGGAGAACCAGCAGGCCCAGCACCGCCAGACGCCACACGAGCAGGTCCAGCAGCCGCGGGCTCCGCACCCCCAGGCGTAGTAGCTCCAGACTCAGCACCCCCAGGCTCAGCAGCTCCAGACGCAGCACCCCCAGGCGAAGGACCCCCAGGCTCAGCACCCCCAGTCGTAGCACCCCCAGGCTCAGCACCCCAAGTCGTAGCACCCCCAGGCTCAGCACCCCCAGGCTCAGCACCCCCAGTCGCAGCATCCCCAGACGCAGCACCTCCGGGCTTAGCACCCACGCGCGCAGCACCCCCAGAGTCAGCACCCCCAGGCTCAGCACCCGTAGTAGTACGAGAGTCACCAGCAACCTCGACCGGCTCAACTGCATCTACCTGGGACACACCTGAAGGGGCAGGACCCTGAGGGGGGAGGGGGTCTACCGGGGGGGGACCTGGCACAAGGAAGTGGGGTGGCGGGGGGAGGGAAGGAGTGCAGTAGGGGAAGAGGCGGTAGTAGGGTACTGACTCGTCGAACGTGACGTCCTGGGAGGACAGAACACGACGAGAGGTGGGGTGGTAGAACTGCCACCCAGGGGCGTCAGGGGGGAAGCCAAGGAAGACACAGGGAGCAGCACGAGGGGACAGCTTGTCCGCAGACAAGTCGCGGACAAACGCCCGAGATCCCCAGACACGGAACGCAGACGCATCGCCGACCTTCCCCGTCCACAGCAAGGCTGGGGAGGTCTCCGGTCTGGAGACCATGGGGTGAAGGTTGATCTGATGCGCCGCGTACCGAACCGCAAACGGCCACAGAAAATGGGGGGCAGCCGCATGCATCATGGACGTACGAGCGACGTCCATGACCATGCCAATGCGGCGCTCAGCAATCCCATTTCGCTGTGGAGAGTCCGGAAGCGTAAAGGTCTGGCGGACGCCTCGCGCACGACAGTAGGCTCGCAGAAGGCCAGAGGAGAACTCTCCGCCTCGGTCAGAGTGCAGACGCAGAACAGGAAAGTCCGAGCCGAAGCTCCTCCTGAGCTGGAGACGAGCTGCGCGGATCCAGTCGATCAACACCTCAGCGACATCACCCTTGCTGCGCAAGGGGAAGACTGTGGTGTAACGCGAGTAGTCGTCAACCACCAGCAGGAAGTAGCGCTCGTGACCATGTCCACGGACGCGGGCCGGGCCCCACACGTCCATGTGAAGCGTCTGCAGCGGGGCCTCTGTCGGGGGAGACTGAGAGGAGTGAGGGGCAGCTCGGAGCCGCCCCTCGACACAGGGGACACAGGAAGGACCAGGCCCCGGAGGAAGGGGAGGGAGGGACCGGGGAAGACCAGAGACAAGGACACGGGAAGCCATGCCTCAGAGACGAGGCAGGGAGGGGTGACCAAGACGGTGGTGCCACAGGAGAGTCTCGTGAGACAGGAGGCGACACGAGCAGGGGGCAGACTCAGGACCAGACCTGGACGCTGCAGCAAACACCTGACCCGACGCAGCTACCTGACCAGACGCAGTGACAGGAGGAGACTCAGTGGTCACTATGTACAGGCTCGACCCCGGGCGACGTGTAAACGTGGCCAGGTACATGGCGGCGGATGACGTGTTGTGCATGTATTAGCCGTTTCGGATTGCGGTCATCCAAATAGACACAAAGTCGTATTGCCCACCTAACTCTCTGCCCATGATGGGCATCAGGTGTGGTAAGAAGTTGGGGTATATGTATAAGTATAGAACCGCCCGTCATTCTGTGACTACATCACTGGATACTATTGTTGCTACAATGGATACTTCG